GGCAGGGGCACCGTCCACCTCGACAGGCGGAGGAGGAGGAGCAGCTGCGGGAGAGAGAGGGCTGACACATACCGGCTTGAGCTAAGACACATGAAAAGTGGGGTGAATGCGCATGGAGCGGGGCAGGCGCAGGCGCACCGCCGTGGGGTGCAGAACGGTGTCGACTTCAAACAGACTGAGATACTTGGGTGCCAGCTTCTGGGAAATCCCCTTCAGGGGAACATGTGCCGCGGACAGCCATACTTTCTGACCCGGGGAGTAGGACAGGGCTGGACGGCGGTGCCTGTCAGCCAGCCGTCGGTTACTCTCGGCTGTGCCCCCCAGAGCAGCGCGTGTGCGTCGCCAGATGCGCCAACAACGACGTAGGAGCGCTTGTACGTACTCGATCCATGCCAAATGCGTGGAGCAGGCTGTGGGTTCCACTGTGCGCGTACTCGATCCATGCCAAATGTGTGGACCAGGCTGTGGGTTAGAGGACAGGCTGACAGTAGCCCCTAGGGCTGTACAGAATGCCTTCCACACTTGAGAAGTGAATTGTGGCCCCCTGTCCGAGACGATGTCTTGCGGTATGCCATGCATGCGTAAGACATGCGCAACCAAGAGGTCCGCGGTTTCCCTGGCGCTGGGTAGCTTAGGGAGTGCAACAAAGTGGGCCGCCTTGGAGAAGTGATCTATGATGGACAGAATGAACATATGGCCCTGTGAAGGGGGAAGACCCATAACAAAATCGATGGCTATATGGACCAGGGGCGACCGGGTATGGGAAGGGGGCGCAATAGACCAGTGAGCGGTTGATGGGACCTCTTAGAGCAGGCGCAAACGGAACAGGCCTTGACAAATCGGCGGACGACTTGGTCCATGATGGGCCACCAAAAACAGTGTCTCAGTATGGACAGCGTGCGCGTGGTCCCGGGGTGACAGGCGAAACGCGAGGTATGGGCCCACTTCGGCACTGTTGTCCTTACAGAGTCCGGGACGAAGGTCTGCCCAGGCGGCCCATCCCCGGGGTCTGGATGGCATGACTGGGCGTTTGTGACTTTTTGCACTATGTCCCAGGTTACCGCCGCAATGACACAGGAGGGAGGCAGTATCGTCTCCTCCTTCTGGTCGTTCTGTGTAGGACTGTACTGTCGCAACAGGGCGTTGGGTTTCTGGAACCGGGATGATAGGTGAGTGTGAAACTAAAATGACCAAAGAAGAACGCCCACCTGGCCTGCCAAGCGTTTAGTCTTTTGGCGGTTTGCAGATATGACAGGTTCTTATGGTCGGTCCAGACGATGAAAGGGGTTTCAGCTCCCTCCAGCCAGTGTCTCCACTCTTCTAGGGCCAGCTTAATGGCTAGTAGTTCCCGGTTGCCGACATCATAGCGTCTCTCAGCTGGGCAGAGGCGCCGAGAAAAGAAGGCACAGGGATGGACCTTGTTGTCCACCTCCGCTCTCTGGCTTAATACTGCCCCCACCCCGGTGTCGGAAGCATCCACCTCCACAATAAACTGACGAGCGGGGTCAGGTTGGATGAGAACAGGGGCAGATGTGAACTTGTCCTTGAGGGACTGAAAGGCATGTTCGGCCTCATCAGTCCAGTGGAAGTGGACCTTAGTGGACGTCAGTCCGGTAAGGGGGGCTGCAAGGGAGCTATAGTTTCTGATGAACCTGCGGTAAAAATTGGCAAAGCCCAGGAACCGCTGCAAGTCTTTGCGTGTTTTGGGTACTGGCCAGTCAGTGACAGCTCGTATTTTTTCTGGGTCTGCCCTCATCCTACCTTGCTCGATCACGAACCCCAGGAAGCTCACCGTATTAGCGTGGAAGTCGCATTTCTCCGCCTTGACGTACAACCTGTTTTCCAGCAGGCGCTGTAAAACGAGGCGGACGTGCCGCTGATGAGCCGTGATGGTGGGGGAGTAGATCAGGATATCGTCAAGATAAACAAACACAAATCTATTAAGGAAATCTCGTAGTACATCATTAACAAGGTTTTGGAAGACCGCCGGTGCGTTGGTGAGGCCGAATGGCATAACGAGGTACTCGAAGTGGCCAAGCGGGGTTTTGAAAGCCGTTTTCCATTCGTCCCCCTCACAGATGCGCACGAGATGGTAAGCGTTACGCAAGTCCAATTTGGTGAAAACAGCAGCACCAGAGAGTGAGTCGAAAGCAGAGTTAAGTAAGGGGAGCGGGTACTTGTTCTTAATAGTGATGTCATTCAGACCGCGGTAATCGATGCATGGCCTGAGTGACCCGTCCTTTTTACCCACAAAAAAGAACCCCACCCCGAGCAGGGATGAAGATGGTAGAATAAGACCCGCCTGTAGCGACTGCTTAATGTACTGCTCCATGGAGTCCCTCTCCGGTCTGGACAAGTTGTACAGCCTGCTGGAGGGTAGGGGAGCCCCAGGGAGGAGGTCGATGGAGCAGTCATACGGCCGGTGAGGAGGTAGGGACAGCGCCAAGTCTTTCCGAAAAACCTCCCCAAGGTCATGGTAGACCAAGGGTACCCCGGAGAGATCTGTTGGTTTGGGAGTGGGGTCTGAGGTGGCGGAGAGGGTGGGAGGAACAGCGGATCGGAGGCAACAAGCAGCACAGTGCGGGCTCCACGACAGCACGGTCCAGTCAATATGTGGGTTGTGTAGGGCAAGCCACGTGTAGCCTAACACCAGCGGAGACTGTGGGGTACTGATAACATGGAACCAGATGAGCTCGTGGTGATTGCCGAAAATAGTGACTGGTACTGGTAGCGTGCGATGGGTTATTTTGGCCATGAAGCGGCCGTCTAGGGAGTTCGCAATAACCGGTGTGTTCAGCGGCTCACCGAAAGCTCGAGCTGCTCAACGAGCACCCGGTCGATGAGGTTGTCCTCCGCCCGAGTCCACCAACACAGTGATGGTGAGGGTGTCTGAGCCGAATACGAGCGTAGTGGGCAGGTGAGAGGTCTGTCAGGGGCTTGATAACTGGCCACCAGCCTCCCCGGTCTCACTGGTGACCACGGCCTTTTGGCCAGACCGCGCATTGGCCAATATGGTGTCCTGACTGTCCACAATATAGGCAGAGGCCCGCTGCCAGGCCCTCTCCTGCGCAGAGAGGGGGGCACAACCAAGTAGCATAAACTGCTCGTTGGCAGGGGTTTCCAGCTCAGGGGTCCGGGCCGGTGGCACGGTGTGGGAGCGGTGCTGTGGGGGCGGTCTAGAGGCATGTCCCCGGTCACGACGCCATTCTCTCAGACGATTGTCGAGACGTATGGTCAACTCCACCAGTGCGTCAAAACGCATGGGTACATCATGGTAGGCCAGAGCGTGTTTAAGCGCCTCGTTTAATCCCTCCGCAAAAACACTGCCCAGAGCGGACTCGCGACTCTGTGTGTCATTATATGAGGTTGGCTGATTCAGAATAGCGTTGATTGCCAACAGTTTTTAGATTAAGCTACATGAACCTTCTACTACACACTGAGATGTTGATGTTTTTAAGCAAACTGTAATAATACACCAATACTTGTCAAAGATTGGAAATATGTTTTGTTTTTAATGTGATTTTTAAAATGTAATGCAAAATTATCTGTTTGATTCATTCCCACTCAACTCTATGCACAAGACATGCATTAAATAAACATAAACCTACATATGCAATTAACCCAGTATATACACATACTCATATACATTCAGCCATGTTGTAGAACTGAAAGAAATGTAAAGGCATCCTTGCATGAAATCCTACAGATCTGCCAAAAAAGTGCTGAAAGCTAGGTAAGCCAAAGCAGGTTTGACTGAACAGGGGCAATTTGCTCCTCAAAAAGAAAATCCATTAGTGTTACGGCAAGCCGCACACCAAAAGAGCGACTGGACTCAGTAATAGACAGGACTCAAACTCAGATCAGAGAAACATATTTATTTGACAAAGTATGGAAAGGAGGTGGTGAGGATCAGATGCGGAGCTACCGGCGTGGGTCTCGGGCGTTTGGGGCCGCTGAAATGACTGGACCACTGGAGGAGCCGCCCGGGGGTAGGAGGAGAGGTTTTGGCACTGCGTATAGTGCAGAGATGAGATTAGGAGAGGGGACAACAGGCGGATGAGGGTGTGATGAAGTAGAGCACAACACAGGTGACCTGCGTATAGGGGAATGCTGGCTCCGGGCTGGAGGGCGTGCTTGGAACCCAGCGCCGAGGTATGCAGACAGGAACAAGCGCCCACGCTTCACTGACCCAGGCGCTTGATATGGAACCCGACCAACAATCGTCGATCGGCAGCAAGGCCCACGGAGATATAGGTGGCACCAGGCAACAGTTCAAAAAACAAAACACTCCTCCGTCATCAGTTCAAAATAACAGAAGATACTCCTCGGTAATGAGTTCAAAATAAACATAAGATCTCCCCAATAGTCAGTTCCAAAATAACAGAAGATACCCCTTGGTAATTAGTTCAAGAAAAAAAAAACCATTAACAAGACAGAGAAACTCACTCAAGTCGACACAGTGGATAACATCAATATGCCAGAGTAGGACGATTTTAGTAGACATCAGGATCCAGGACGTGAAACACGCGAAGTCGCCGGCAGAAGACACACCAGCACTGTGTTTCAGTATGGTTCAGCTAATTGAGCGCAGGTGTGCCTTGTCGCCGGGAGCGTGCTCCTACGTGAGCAGGGGTGGAGTCGCTGATAGCCCCGGTATCAGCTGCCGAGGTGCCGGGGACGGCCTGATCCGTGGACGTAACAATTAGGTGTTCTCAGCATCAGACAGGGAGGCCCTGCTTCATTCTCAGATTCTTTCCATATGTCTGAAAGTATCTCACAGCTCTATTTTGCATCTGTAGACTTGCTAGAGCTGCCTGCCTGCTAGTAGAAAAGCATTCATTACTAGTATTAAGCAAGCCCCCTGGCCTCAATCCTACAGGCATGGTTGTTCAGCAGTAGAATTTTGGACATTAGATTGATGTAATGGCTCAATGGGGAGCACAAACAAGAGAACACCTGGGTCGGTGGCTTTTTCACACCATCCACTGGGCTGTGATGCTTTTAGCCTTTTGTGGCGCAGCAGGAAAACAATAAGCTTTGAAACATTAAAGAGCTTCAACTGTAAATGATTCTGGATGTCCAAGCTCTCCTTTTATAAAAGAGTTTTCTGCATAATAGCCCCATCATACCCGCATATATTTTTGTTGTTGCTGCTTTGCTTGATAGGATATTTTAGACAATGTTCCATTCATATGCATATGAGCAATTACGGGCCATTATGCTATTCATTAAACATAATAACAGCACATTATACTGGTAGTTAGAAGTAAAAATGGCATTTATCCAACACAAAGAACTGGCTCACTGTGTGCCAATCAAGTCACCCATGCACCCATAATAACACTGAGCACACGGAGGTAAAAGGAGCATCATGGACTAAGCTACTTTTCTCTGATTGCATGGCTGCAGCTGAATGATCCTCATGGAGAGCGAAAGATAAACGTGGACATACTTTCCCATCAAAGACCATCTCATATCCTTCTCTGCCTTTGATCTTGTTGTAGAGGTACTCCGACAGCTCCAGACACTTGTCAATCTGAGCCTCGAACCCAATGGTACCCTGCCAAAATTAAAAAAAACCAACAAAAAGTTTAATCTGTGAGATTTGTTATTTAAATTGAAGGCATCTTCAACTGCATAAAAAAGATGGGTGCTGTTCTGGTGGATAACTGGACTGCCATATCTGCCTTATAATAAGTCAAAAGGCAACATAAGAAGGACACAATAGTGCCAAAACAAAAATCAAGGTAAATGTAAGGCTATCTCCATCAGCTTAGTTACTCAAGGCTTGAAAAATGCCAAAGTATGTGGTTCACTGACTCCAATACTCCTATTAATAGCAGTAATAGTGACTTTAATTATACTATGGCAAGGTATATTTCTCTTACATCAGGTATTCCTGTGAATTGCTTTGGCTAAATTATGAAAAAGGTTCTGCTGATTTCATGTGTTACAGTGTAGCGGCTCACATTACACATTCAGGATGTCTATGATCACAAAACCTGTAAAATCAGCATGCAAATATGAGCGAGAGAGCAAATTCTCATGTGAGCTTTTTTTCAGTACCTTGGCCCTCCACATGAGCCACAGCTTGAAGATGTCCACATGGCGTCCACACTGCAGCGCTTTGTCTCCAGTGTCATAGGAAAGGTCGTAGTGCTTGTCTTGCTGGAACAGATAGCAGGCGTGCATCTGGTTGCAGTTCTGCATCAGACCCTGTCAGGAGACAAGGTCCAGAGTGTTTATAATTGCCATTCGATCTAGCAGGTAACCATCATGAGAAAACCAACTGCTGTTTTATCGACTCTCCTCAGCACTCACTGTCTGTCCACCTGTCGTAGGTCAGCCCAGGCCCCTCAGCCTAGTAAAACTCAGCCTTCAGACTTTCCTGATCTGTTCAGTGCTTCCCCAGAGTACTCAAGTACCTCAGAAAAGTACTAAACAAAGATTTGTTACCTGGCACCTCACCTCCTTGGGGCAGGCTTTATTACATGTCTGGACTAGGTGATGGACCAATATATCTATGAGTCCCTGGCAGCAGACATACTGTAATTCCACCTCCCTCATCCCCTGCTGGAGCTGTGGTTTTATTTGTTGACTAGTTGGACAAGAGAGTGAAACTGTACTGAGTGTGGATCAACATTATGGCTAAGAACTGAATTCTACAAAGAGCTGATACCCCTTTCCTCTCATCAAGCTACTGCAGGAAGTGACATTCTCTACCAAACTAGAATTGCACAATGCCTATAATTTGATGTGTGAGTGTAAAACTGCCTTTAATATTCCCAGTGGTTACTATGAGTATTTAGTCATGACTTTTGGCCTAACTAAAAGTTCAACTGTGTTTCATGCTCTGGTTAATGATGTCTTGCAGGAGATCGTGAACAAGTTTGTGTTTGTATGAAGACAATACTCTGATCACACACATCATGTCCAGGCAGTGGCTGACTGGCCCACTCCTAGCTCTTGCACACAGCTGCAGCATTTTCTGGGTTTTACACATTTCTGCACATGGTTCAGAAACACCCAAGTCCAGATTCATCTTTACACCTGTTCTCAGTATCTCTGACTCATCTCTTGGTGAAGGCAGATGCTTCAGACACTGGGGTAGGTGAGGTGCTGTCACAGCAGTCAACTCACATTTAAAAACTGCATCCCTGTGCTTTTTTTTCTCACAAATGTTCCTGGCCCTGGAGAAATAGAGGCAGTGGCTGGAGGACAGAGAGCATCAATTTGTGGTATGGACAGATCATAAAAATCTGGAGTGCATTTGTTCCGCCAAAACGCTAAATGTCCAAGAAGGCAGGTGGGCCTTTTTCTTTAATAGATTTGTAAAGGAGAGACCTATAGAACTCGAAAAGATTCTGCTTGCCAAATTTGTGATAATGGCCATAACCTGAGAGTGGAACAGAAGGTGAAGGATGCTATGTCCCTAAAATCTGTCCCACTAATAGCCTGTTTGTCCCTTCTCCCCTTCATTCACAGGTGCTGCAGTGGAGAGTACATCCCTTTCTAGCATAACAACACTTTTGGTGGCCCGTGGTGATGGAGGATGTTCAGGAGTTTGTGGCTGCTTGTCCTGTTTGTTCTTTACACAAAGTCTTTTACTGGGCTCTGGCAGGTCCCCTACAGCCTTTCTCAATTCCTCATTGTCCCTGGTTCCACATCTTCATGATTTTTGTCACTGGATTTCCTCCTATAGTCACACCTACACCCTCAACATCACTGACTGCTGATTAATCATGTGTTCCGCCCTCAAGGTCAACCCAAGGACGTTTACTTCTACCTCAGTTTACATTTCTTTTCTGAAAGGATTTCTGCAGGCTTCCGAGTGCCATAGTTAGCCACTAGTATCATCTCAAATTCAATGGTTAGACTGAGAAGCGGAATCAGGAGCTGGAAACCATCACTGCCTGTTGTGCTGTAAAACTTAACCTCTAAAGCCCAACAGTTGCTGAGAGTACGCTCCTAATTCCTTGGTCTGTCTCCTTTTAATGTACCCTTGGTTTTCAACCTTTTCTCTGCCCTGACAAAATGGAGAGGGAAGCCCCTGTACCCTCAGCACAGTCCTTTATCTGGCAGTCCTCCCTCCTTCACCTTCCCTCATGCTGCATGAGGATAGTCAACAGATATCACACTCCTGCTCTACAACACCGCCTCTGACAAAGACTATGGCTTTCCATCAAGGATCTACCTCTTAGAGTGGAATCCAGGAGCATGGGTGCCCCGCTTTGTTTGGCCCTTTCTGAATTCCAAAGTCATCAACTGGTGAACATCTTCACCTCCCCAGCTGCTTGAGGATTCACCCCGTAAGGGAAAGTCCACTGGCTTTACCTTGGACTGTACCTTGACCCTGTGTTAGTTCACTCTATCCCTGCTGTTACCTGTATCAGTGAGGGTGCCCTTAGAACTATACTACTGCTTCCTGAGTCTTGCTTGTGGGTCCAAACTTGGGGTTAATAATCACCACAAGAAAAGAAAAACAAACCTACATGATGATGAAATTAAGTGGTATGAGGCATACCTCCTCTCTGACCAGCAGGGCAGAACACTGCAGAGGGACTGACATCATCTTGTGTGGGTTCCATGTTACTGAATTGGCCCTGCAGTTAACAAAAACAGACATCATGCATTATTATTTCAAATGCTCATAAAACTTCTACCACTTACCAGTTTGTGTCTACCCTGAAAAAAAGTCACCTCTCCACTCCATCCAGCTTCCACCTGTGTCTTCTGGACATGAGTAGACTTCCTCCCCATGCACCCTAACAGGAGAGACAGACAGGTGTTAAGTAAAGATGCTGAGTGAAATACTGGCATTAGTAATAAGAAATAAACATATTTTGGTAATTATCATTACATTTTTAGTAAACTGTACATATGTACTATACAAGAGTAAAATCGTCAATGCCCTCTGGTGGAAAAATTATGTACTGCAGACACTTTCTAAAAACATTGTGGTGTTTCTGCCCAGAAATTTGTTAACTTAAATAATGTAGGCTATGCATTGATACAAATGTATCTCAAATGAGCAAATGTTAGTGTATACATGAGCATAACCAATTTATCAGTCTAACTCTACAAGTTAGTCTCACACTTCAATGCAGTTTCATCTGCCTCAGATGTGATGGGTGCTCTCTCTCTGTGTAAATCTGCAATAATCACTTTATTTCATTTGCATTTTTTAACTTAAATGTTTTTTCCAGCTTTTATAAAGTATTTTCAACATGTTCATCACATTTGCCAAAAACAATAATGACTACCTTTAAGACACTGTTGTGCTCATTTGTTTATTTATTTATTGCCTTTCATTTTTAAAATGTTAATGTATTTTCCTCTTAGTGCCTACTTCATTATGCTTTTCGATGTATCCTTATAACCCTGAGATGTCATCAATGAATAAGGAAAAAGTCCAAAGATTGGCTAATATCATCTTCTTTATTCTAAACATTAGTGTCATTTTCAGCTCTCAAAAAACAAGTCCACATGCCAGTAGCTTGTACAGTTGTTTGCACACATTTCTGAATGTTTCCTCATGACAGTTTAAAAAGCCACAAAACACTTTTTTCATGAGACGCTGCATCCCAAGAGCAGAAGATGTGTATTTCTTCCATGTCAGCTATTTTGGGGGAATAAGAGGTAAGGCCATGTACATCTCTTAATAGAGGTATCCCCTTGTCAGGACTAAATCACCTTCATTAACAGATAGAGCTCCTTTAGTGAGAGGGCCCATGATGGTAAAGTCAAGAGAGGAGACGATTTACAACCTCTGTTCCAGTTTTTCTAATCTCCATTGTTAGATAGGAAATGGCTAGTGCCTATCTGGGTTAACCACAAGCAGCTAGAGGTGAGGCAGACATAAGAGATCTGTCAAACTCAGTGGTGAGCTTTCTGTTTCTATTCCTTTCCTAAAGTCCCTTCTGTGGATTGGTATTGTGCGTCATGCATGTTGAAGGTAGCAGTTATGCTGACTCATTTCCATATACTAATGGCTGTAGATTACAGAATATTTAGATTTAGTTTTACTTACGTCAACATGCATCCAGATCTTGTACTTTGTGCAGATGTCAGAAATGGCAACGAGAGGGTCAAATGCTCCGTACACTGTTGTTCCAGCAGTTGCACTAACAAAGAAAGGCACAAAGCCCTGCACAAACACAAACAAACAGTGACTGTATATAAAGCATCTACTGATGCAGTTACAACACCGCCAAGATGTCCCCAGTTTCCCTCATCATCACTGCAGTCTCAGCTGGCTGAGTACTATAAAGTCAGTGCTGTGTGAAGTTATATCTATTTATAGCTATGTTATAAATGCATATCACAATACCTTCTGTTTCGCCTCCAGTATTCTCCTCTCAAGGTCAGCTGGGATCATTTTACCACTGCAAAATAGAAAAACAAGCTTTGGTTGCTTCCTGAGTTGGTTGCTGTTGCTCACTTAGCAACAGCAACCAACTCAGTGCTGTAACAATGCTCCATTCAAAATTCTACTTAAGAAAAAGTAACATCAACAAAACGTGCTTAAAATACCAAAATTTAAAGTAATACTTATTCATTTATTATTAATTGTAAATGTAATGGTTTAAAAAGTACAATATTTCCCCCAGAATGAGTGGAGGAGAAGAAGAAGCAAAAAATAAAATGAAATAAAATAAAAAATAAATAAACAAAAATGGAGAATGTAAAATAAAGTATCGATATTTCAAAACTGTACGTAAATACTTGCTTCAAATGCACCGTCTGCCAGTGGAATTCATGTACTAACGTCCACTATGTACCATACAAGTGGGCTGAAACGTGAGGCCAGCTTTACCTTTCATCTGCTTTGATGCAGATCACACTTTCAGTCCCGATGCCAAGAGCTGCTGCTCCTTTTTTGATTGAAAAATGGCTCTGAAAGATAACATAAAAAATGACAGAGAGACTGTATTTCATACTGGAGGTCACCAGACAGGGGGAAAAAAATCTGAGAATAAGTAACAAGATTTGTCAAACAGGTGACAGGTTTGTGTGTCATGTATTGGCTTTTTGCTCACAGTATCTTTCAAAATGAAGGGGGTGCAGTGACAGACACACCAGTCACCCTGTGTCCTGCATCGGACATATAGTTTCAATTTTATATCAGCAGTGGTGGTGTGAAAGTGGTACAAAGTCACTTAAAACACCTGTAAAACTACAGCTAATATACATTTGAGCTATTTTGATCTTTTTGATATTTGTGATCAGAGCTATTCGATCCAGTAAGACCCATGTTGACTATGCAGTGGACATATTTATCAGGTGAAGTGACTTATAGATGCCTACATGTTCAGATGTGAAGGCCACCAGTCTGGGAACAGATGACATTCCTTTCTCCTTCACTTCAGGGAACATCTTGAAGCGAGCCAGCAGCATGGCATACATATTAGAAATAGAGCCACCTAGAGGACAAATGGGGCTCAGTGATTTATAACGAGTCAGTCAGCACATATCACACACAGCCTACACTCACAGGTCTCAGCGACGCAGGTTTCTGACTTTCACACACCTGCTTACAATTAAGAAACAACAGCAAAAATATTTTGTTTACAGGTATCAGGAGCATATCAAGAGATGATGCAGCGTCTAAAATCACAGCCAATCAAAGTCTTTCTCAATAAATCCTCAAATGACTGTTCCTCATCATGTGTCAACCAGAAGTGCATGAGAGAAAGAGTGGTAGGTGATGAGGTGGGGGCTTAAGATAGAAAAAGAAAATGATTTTATGCTAATTGAGTTTGAAACAAGTTCCATTTATATCATCAAAATGCAAATTGACACTACAACACACACACACACATTTCATTGCATTTCATTGCACACATGCATTTTCAGTGCAACAGAGGGGCGGAGAGACTGGCAGCTCCACACATACCAGGAGAGAAGATGCCATCTCCTCGCCCGTCTGGCCAGCCGATGATCTCCCTCATCTTCTTCAGAGTGACATATTCCAGTAGCACAAAGACAGGAGCCACCTCATAGGTGAACCTGCATTACACAAGGGATGGATGAACGTGAAATATACCATGATCCGTCACTGAAAACTAGCCAGAAAATGAGCATTGCTGCAATCTGGGTGTTTCAAGACATTTAGTGTTGAACTTGAAGACTGATGTAGATGAAATATATCAAAATCATGAAGAATAAAAGAATATATTTTGTAGTAAAAATGTAGAATTTTTATTAATCGACTGCTTTTACAGGCTGTGCCTTCATTTCTGAAGAGACCTGAAATTCTTAATTTGTATTGATGCTTCAAAACAAAATGTACTAACATCAACAACTAACTGTTTTTTGATGATTTACTTTGGACAGACCCAAATGATGTGTGCACAAATCTCACATTTTCATTCCTTTCCTGCTGCTCCATTCAAAATAAACTTCCTGAGCTGTTTTTCTATTAGTAAACGGTGTATTGGCTGTGTTGAGATGAAGCTAATACTGCGGTGTTTTGCAGTTGCCAAGGCTGATTCTTGCCGTGTTTATCACCCCAAACACACACACACTAAAATTAGCTTCAGATTAGTCAGAATTTAATTTCAGAGCTAATTTTCTCCCCTTGAATCCCCACGGGGGTCGGAGCTGAGGGGGAGGGATAAAAGGCAGAGATGGGAGGGGTGCAGTGGGGAGTAAAGGGGGGGTCCTGCCTTTCATTTCACCCTTTTCATTTGTCGTGATTGAGTGAAAAAAGCTGCTATCAGCCAGTGCAGACGCAGAGCGGAGTGCACGTTGGATGGACCGGAAATGGAATTCATTGTCATAATCATTATCGCCGCTTAAAATCGTGAAGCAGCAGGCAGCATACTTACATATTGGTGTTGGCGGTGGATGTTAGCCAATCGGCTGCCAGTCCAACCATGTCTAATCCCGTAGAGAGCTGATTGAAGTACCTGGGGTGGGCTGAATGAAAAGGGGCAGAAGGAAACAGAAGGAGGGGGAAACGTGTGAGATGGCTGCAACGTTAACCTTTTTTATCTGGTGCCAGGAAAATTGAAAGATGCTTCTTATGTGTTTGTGTCGAGTCTGTGCAAAAATATATATATAAATGATGATCTATGAAATGCTTTAACTAAAGGATAGAATTGCAGCTGCAGTAACATTTGAAATCTTGGCATATATTGAAAACATGCGGTGTGATGTGGGCAAGGGCGTAGTTTTGCATTTGGATGAGAGGGACATGTCCCTTCCAATATTTGAGCAAACCTGTACACACAGTCATTGGAGTGAAGTCATATTAGACTATTAGGATGTGACTGACCCACTGAAAGGGAAGGGGCAATGTGAAGCTCCCCATATGTGCAAATGTCATATTTGCTCCCAGGGACGGAGGCGACGGCTGTCAGTCAGTGTGCTGACAGTGAGGTAGTGGCTGACTGTGGTCAAATTGTGAAGATGTTCACAGATTCAAAGTTTCTGGATCAATAGCAAAATGTTGCTAAAATACAAATGACACATTTTTTGTTTCATAGTAATATAGACAACAAGCTACATGCTAAAATGACTTGTCCTCTGCTCCAGACAAATAGCATTACTCTGTGTGTGCAGCCGGCTGTGAGACGAGTGTGCAGGGACCGTCTACAAAGTGCAACACTGAAAAGAGATAGGCATACCTCAAAAATATTCAATAACCTCACTGTAGTGTCACCACTATGACTTCACACATTAATGATTGCACTACGACACTTAGTATTGCATAATATTGGTGAATTTTAACTAAAGAAAATAGGCTAAATAGTGTCACCAAGATCTCTCATCCTCATAGACAGCTTAGAAACCCCATGAAATTATTTTGTATGTGGGAAGAAGCAGCAGGCAAGAGAAGCTGAGCAGGCTGATGAGGGAACAGGTGCGTCTTCAGTGCTTCATGTAAGGCCCTAATTCGGGGTGGGGTGGGGTGGGAGTGTTGTCCCTACCAGTGTTGAGATCAAACCTACACCCTACCCACAACCCCTGGAGTGGGGTTCCACTTGGGGGGGGGGGGGGGAAACACAGGCAAAGTAACACGTGCCTGCGCACAAACGTTTTAGTCAATGTTTTATTTACATAAGCCCTAACAGGCATGCGCAAGAGGTCGCCACTCAGGGGAAACGCACATGCACGTTTACACAGTGAAGCGGGTTGTGGCTTATCAAACGTTCCCACTTTGGGACCGGATTCCAAACTTTTGCGTTTTCATACCCCTGAAAAACCTTTGCTGCGTAAACGAACAGCCACAGTGGCAAAAACCTTTTTCGGGTTAGGAGCAAGAATTTATTGTTTTCCTAAAATAACTCATGTAAAAGTCTGATTGTTAGAGACTATACTTTACCCCCGGCCCTATATTTAACATTCATAAACAAGATGTAAACATTTAATAAAGCGTTTACAATGTAACTGTACATATATGTGAAAATCCTTCAGCGGCCCCTGGTGTATAACCAGATAATGAAAGACAATAAAACACAGTTATTCATGAGAAGATTGTTGACAAATACAATATATTATAAAATATTTAAAAAGACCTTATATCTGCTTACACCAAAACGACAGCGAGTTCATGTAAGGGTTTAGAATAACACATGTAAATGGGGGTGGGGGTGTTACTGCTCATTTCAAGCCCATATTTGTATTTTGAGGGGATGAAAACTGTCCTGAGCTGCTGCTGTAAATTTTCTCCCCACATGCGTCATTCAGGATAATGGACTTGGCCTGTGAAGCAGTTATTAGTCCATTATCTCCTGGTGAACCAGATTTACTGCGCCACCGCGTTTGTCGGTCTGATGGTCAGGAGGAGAAAAACGAGGACAGCGTCCAGATTTGTAGCCGGAATTTATTCATTAGCCTATTTGCTTTAAAAGAAATTATTTTATGCCATTGTCTTTATTTTATTCTATGAGCTTTGACAATATTCCACCATTTTCATAAAAATCCTGCTGACTTTTATATTTTCCAAATAGACATTTGGAATAGATTCTATGATTCCTTGTTGCATTTATATATTTTCAGTGGCAACATTTATGACTCCGTAGCTTTGTGGTATTTGTGTCTTTTCCGTTTATATTTTTTCCAGGAATTCTGTATTTGCAGTAAGATATTAGACAGAAATGATTCGCTAGTGATTTACGGAATATTTGGCACAAACGCAGCAGGCCGGTCTGAAGGCCTAGTCGACCTCAAACGTGCAGCTTAAAACGGGGGATATTTCCAAACATTCAAACCTAAAAATGGCCTCATCGCGTTTTAAACGCTAGAAATCTGTAGGCTATGCATGCATTCGGCATTCACAGTAAACCCAGGCCTACCTGTTTTGATGGCGTACTTGAGAGTAGCGCGACAGCTGATCAAGATATCATCCAGAGTCGCAGGCTGGTCCCGCAGCTCCCAGTTGTTCAGCTGAAGCAGCTCGTTTGGATAATGAAAATCAATCACCTTCGTTTCCCTGTCGAAAGACTCCACGACGTAGGCCAGTAGAATATCCACGACTTCCTGCAGGAAGGTCATCGTTTTGATGTCACCGTCCATGGCAGGTAACAGGTCTGGAAAAAAATCAGCAGCGGAGACATTCTGTGATTTGCCTTCCTGGACTTGGTTCGACAAAATTTGTGCAAAATTTGTGCAGAGGAATCTGATAAAAACATGCAACAATAAGATGCATATGAGGTGTGAAGGCCTCTAAAACAAGACCATATAAGACGCATTTGCTGTGAAATTATCCCAAAGCTCCACAGACAGAAAAACACCACATTTCTTTTTGTTATAAAAGCCGAAGGATATATCCTGCAAAGCCCAGCACATCAAAATACGAGCTTTTGCTGAAGGTGACCTCTGTAAAATTGTTAGACTCTGTTATTATTCCAGACAATAATGGTTTGATTTAGTCTGGATTGAGTGTCTCAGTTTCAATTGAAGCATTTTATTGTCTGGGAACAAAGAATCATCATCTCTATCATCGTCAAGAAAATTGATCTACATTATAATGATTGAAACGAAAGTTGATTTGCATGACACCAAGTGCAATCATATTGCCAGATATTTTCATTAATTAAAAAAAAACAACAAATAATAATTAAGCTTGCTGGAATAAACAGGCTCACTCAGACCTACTGATGTGGTTTTTTACACTGAATAAACAAAGCCCATCTCTGCACGATGCTTTGGCTCAAAGAGGTCAGTGTAAAGGTTAGCACCATGCTTGTGTACCTGTTGAATAGAGGTCGGAGAAGACCACAGCCGCTTTGGTGCAGTTGCAAGATTTGTTGCAGTCGCAGGTGCCAGCAGCCGTCTGCGGCGGCTCGGCGGGCTTCTCCACCTCCCCGACATTGAGCAGTGCTTTGGAGACCACAAAACAGCACTGAGATATTTTTATTAAGCCATGATGTCAAGAAAATGTCAGAAATAACGTAACCTGCACCCCCATTCCCTCCCACACTCGACCTGCTTGCTGTGAACCAACATACCACATAATTTCGATCCAATTCCTCCGGATAATTTCTGAGCCGCCGCTTGGCACCAAGCCCTGGCTGGAAGAGAAGAGATAAATAAGGATGGACAGTTTCAGGTTCGGTCCTAACTTTAAGGTGACAGCCGAAACACAAATGGCACCATGCAACTTAGCATTAATTTTTTTTAGGTAAACTGTTGCCGTCAGCAGAGTAAAACAAAAACGAAAAGCAGATGTGTGGACTATGAACAGGCTCCAGCAGGCCTGGTTGGTAGTGATCCGGTGGCAGCAACACCAAATGCAGGGCACCGACAAGACACATTGCGCTGGAATTCGAGCTGCGCCCGGTGGTCAGAGGTGCTGTGAAGACAAAAAGCCACTCACGTGTATTGGGACTCTGGCTCCCGGTATTGGCCCCCGCATTATCTCCGCCAAGAGACCAGAAACCGTGAGATGCCATTGTAGTTAGGGCTTACAAGAGACACGAGCAGAGCCCATCCACGCGCGACGAGCAGGAACTGTGCTGAAGCTGACAAGACCTCTCCGACTGCTGAAAACGCAGCCGCACATCCGAGAGACGCTTTATGCTACAGGAAAGCCCTGAAAAATAAAACAACTCGTGGATGGGAAAAAAACAGTCATGCGTCGTCGGTGGCGTCCAAAGGTGCAGGAAGCACGAAGCAACGTCTTCCCAGAGACATTTGCAAACATTTGACTTCACCGGCGCACTCAGCCAGCGCTTCTACGTAAAAGCGCAGCCACTCTCTGCGCTTTATACAAAAAACAACATATAATGCAAGTCCTGGGTGCAAAACTCTATAGTGAAATTCTTCTTTTGATATAAGCGTGCTACATTTTCAGTGAAGTATCAAAGCAAAAAAGAAGAGCAAAGCCAAGAGATGGTGAAAAGTGGTTTTAAAATCAGCTCTCACAGCTGCTGGTAAATCTACAGCGCGCAAACCATGTCCAATTGCATCTAACCTAAATTTCACGTCACAAGAGAAATCCCATCGTGATTCACTTCAGGGCATGACGAGCTGTGCTGCGTCGTGCGTCCTGCCTCTATACATCCCCAGAATTTGGTCCCCTGCGAGCTGAACTTACCCTCCATAGGCTACAGAAAGTGGATGCCAACTAATTTATCTGCCCAGCAGTCGCAGACCTATTTCTTGGAGACCGACTGCTTTAATTGTTCGCCTCCGGTGAAGAAACAGTGTGGAGGCTTGGTTCGCGTACACACAACATGCGTAGGTCCTTGCTTTCTCCTCTTTGTGCTGAGGCGTGTTATTGTTTCAAGAATAATAATTCCCGAAGCTCTAGTTTGTTTCACCATTTATTTTGGTCTTTTTCGTCACCTAAGGAAAATTGTTTTCCACCCTTAACTAAAATTAAGGACCTTGACATTTAATAAATCAGCAGATTGCATAAATTATAAATCATATACTGTATGTATAGAAACTAAAAGGACGCCTAATAATTACGCACATTAGTCCTTACAAATTGGAATATTACAGTCTGACATGTCACTTTGTTGTCTTATCGTTAATGAATGAGAGCAAACGGACCCTCTGGGCATCAAAACAAGCCTGAGTCACATCTGTTATGATTTATAGATGCAATCGCCAAAAACCATTTAATGCCACAATGACTATAAAGTAGATGGAACTGTTTGCCAAGAGTTACAGCAATACATTTTTTTATCAAACATAATGCTTGTTGGAGCATGTTCTTTAAAAAGACAGCTCTATTTGCAAAACCATCATACATGTTCCTTTTCTATTATATCCACCAATCAAGCTTGCTAATCCAGTGTAGGACTGTGGGAACCCGAGACATACAGTATATCTTGTTATCTATCAATTTATTTAGTAAGCATGTTGTTGGGGAGTCTAACACGCCCTGCAGGGGTTTCTCCTGTAAAATATCACACAAAGGTCAGAGGCTGAGTCTCTGAAATGCTGAAATCATTGCAGAAAAGAAGATGATGTCAAAACTGGTTTGATATCAACATGACACAGTTGCCACTGTTTACTCCTCCCATGAATGGATTATGAGACAATGGGCCCCTGGGCACAGACGTGTAAAAGGCTACTACCTCTCTAACTATTGAACATGCATGTCTCTTTGTAGTTGTTTTCACTTTTTAGCCATCTGGTGCTAATTTTTACTTGTTTTGCGTCTCTTTGTAGTTGTTTTGTGCTACATTTTGTCATTTGGCATATTTTTGTAGTCATTTAGCTGCCTTTGAAGCCTTTTGTTTGTCTTTCTACTTATTTTGTCTCTTTTTAGTGGGTTTGCATCTATTTTTTACATTTTGTAGTCCTGATTGGCTTTTCACCAGAAAGGCTAACAGACTTCACAGTTTTTTGGTCTGCCCCCCTCCCCCCATTATGAAGAATGGTTATGGTTTAAAACAGAGAGAGTAAAAAGAACATGTGCAACAGCGTACATAACCTCACCATGCAAAGAGGCACATACTGTATATGCTTAAAGATAAAACATGACATGTAATTTCACATATTTAATGTTTCAGTGAGCAAATCAGAGTTTAGACCAGAGCAAAGAATGCACATTTCTTAAATGATAATGATTCTGAAGCTGATTTTCCAAAGGCACACTTTTCAGAAAGAACTGAAATGTGAAATATTAAATATGTAAGAGCATGGCCTGCATATTTACATGATCTATAGGCATTTTGAAGTTATAACAAATTATTGATATGGACAACATCACACACAATATTTGACAAAAAGATAAAGCAAAATGAGCTAAAGTACAAATATCTACTTTACAAATGACTAAATAAAAGTCTAATCTGCAGCAAATTTAAGTTTCTTATTTACAGTTCCTTCATCCTGTCTATTAGATTGTTCAATCAGATTAATTAGACTGGTGGCTATCAATAATCAGTGCAGTAGGTACCTTTCATTTCCCTAACTAAGCAATTTCAAATGCTTCTGAAGAAGCTTTAGCCACATTTCCACCAGGGCAACTTTCCCCAGGGAGCAGGAACCTTTTAGGGAACATAGTTCCTCCACCTGCATTTTGTACTGGATGATCCAGGGTCTGAATTTCAGTTCCTCCACACATGGACTGCAGCAGGCAGAGGGCACAGAAGAAAGCATGACATGCATGAAGTGAACCATCAGGCCTGCTCGGAGTTAACAATCGTTATGCTTGTACTTGCAATAAAATCTTGGCGAGTAAGGGAAATACACTTGTTAAATGAGTACAAACATGCAGAAAAGCAATCATTTCAATTTTGCCTGCAGCCTGTCCTCCACCACTGGGACATGTTAACCAGACCTTCATGCTTTTACATCAGCAGGCTAATTTGTTTCATCTTCCCTGGGCTTCGGCCCTGCTGTGGAAATGTACATCACAATGCGCTCAAGGGTCTTTTACCCCAGGGACAGTTCCTGGGCTTTAGTTCCTGGGAATAAAAAGTACCAGGGACTTCATGGCGGAAAAGCAGCTCTTGATGCATTGCCACACAGTGAGAGTCATCCTCTTGCCTTTCACAGATTATGTCCCAAAAAATTAAAAAGATCAGACCCAGGTTCAGTACTGTTTGATGAGCCTTCGTCTCTGGGACGTCTTCCTCAGTAGGTGTCTGTAGTCATGCGGATTCTCCTCAGTCTGACTCTCTGTGGAGGGCATCCTGGGAACAGTCGACACCACACAGGAGACAACAATGAAATCCAGAAGCACAAAGACACAGCAGAAAGTAAAAGCAAAAGCAGAACAGGAGATGCCTTGGAAGATTTGGACCAAGAAACAGAATGAGAAAGAAGATAAAAAGGTTCACGTTCAAGAGAAATATTTCATATTGTTTATCTTCTTCACTGGTCATTTATCATGTGTGTGATGCTATGGTCAGACAAAATGGGAAACAGATGCAATTTATACACAGGTCTGACACCATCCCTCCTTTGACCAACCGGGATGCAAAAGCCAAGTGTAGTATTTCAGGAAAAAATCTCATCTGTCAACAAAGCAGCAGATCTGCACAGGTGCAAATGTCTCATGACCGCTCTAATGGTGTGTTTACATTATTGTGGAAAACCAGCTCTTACACACACCTTGCCATGGTTGTGTATGTGGTGTGCTGCACATGCTCTGAGTAGACAGACGTCTGAGGTGTGCAGCTTGAAATGGGGGTGCGCCGAAACTTCAAATTTGTTGTACTTTAACCCCCATTTGCATTGACAGCCAATCACTGCTGACCACCGCTGGAATTGATGTGAAACTAGTTAGCTAGGGTTTCAATCGTAAAACCACTTCTCTGAGTGAACTAGTCCCAGTTGTTGGCCATTAAAGAATACACACATCTTTCTAAGCATGGACACACATGGTGTACCTGTTCTCTCTGGCAAGTATGCTAGGCCCTGGTTCAGTGACAGCCCTCTCTCTGGTCTGTCTACTGGCATCAGCTGATTTCTCCTCTGTAGATATGGAGGGTTCAGACCTGCTGGTGGACAGGCCCTGGTAGTACTGGTCATCGACATCCAGCAGCTTCCCTAGACTAAAGCACAAACAGAACAGATTTTTGAGAATATTAACACTAGCTGCAGGCTGTGTAAATTGCTCATTGACACGTAGTCTTTCCTTTAGCTCCGGGGGTGGAAACTGAACCCAGGACAGGCTCAGAATTTTATCAGCTTTTACACAGAGCTGGATATAATGCTGAAAACAATGTACATGTTAGTAGGTTAAAGTGGCCTGAGCTACTTGTGATAACACTTTTTTTTGTACAGATGGCAATGCCAGACGTACTGTCTGTACACAACTTTAGTCAAACTTTGTAGTTAGTGATAATTAATTAAATTGCACTCGCTAACATGCTAAACTACTATAGTAAATATTGTAAATATTAGACCCATGAGCATGTCAAGTGCTACCATTGTGAGCATGTTAGTATGCTAATGATAGCACTGGACTACATCTTCACACAGTGTGGCTGAAGACACTCAGTGTGGTTTCTGGCTTACGGTTAATGAAATTTAAAGTTTGGTAGCTTTTACAGTTTTCTAATCCATAGTCAGCCTGCTGTGGTCTGCTTAGCCCTGGTTCAGCCACCAGGGAGTTATTTCAGCCCTGGTAGTGAACCAGTGTTGATTCAGGGGCTGGTTCATCCCTGGTTCACTGCTCATGCTACAGTAACTACCCAGATTCTCCTCTGTTTATTTCTAACAAACTGCTGTAGCTGCTATTGGAAACATAAAAGGCACACAAAGACTTAAACTCCACGTGCTTTAAATGGCAAATATATAACATTTCATATGCTGCCATCTGGCTGAAAATCACAGTTTGTCTCCCCATGTCCCTCATCGCCTCTGTCTACTCTCCAGTTTTCACTCTTAATGCACCAGATTTCCCATTTCCCATCCT